CAAATTTTATTCTTGATTCTTCGTGCATGTATGCTGCCCTACTTGACGGCAGATACAGTGACAAAAGCTATCAGTCGATCGAGACTGAAAAACAAATATTGCCGACAGGATGGGCCATCATTCCCTGCAAAAATTCTCCCTTTATCTGCACACATATATATGTGAAAAGTTCCATATATTTTTTTTTCAATTTCATCCTAGCAACCTACCTACCTCGCATGCCAAGTGTCATCAAGAACAGCAAAGATTTTCGCAGATAGATACTTCACATGGACACGACATGCGTGCATGGCGAATTGGTGATCAAGCAGTTAGCTAGTGCGCGGCAGCATTGCTGTCAGTGCTCTCAGCTGAGTCCGATGGATGCATGAGAAAATTCAGAAAAAGCTGATGAACTTTACCCAAAAACGAATCCAGTCGCTAAGCTATTAGCTTTAATTTGATCATGTATATGTCAGTGGCATCCAGTTCATAGCGAGTAGTAGTAGACAGTAAGACAGATGCATGCGACTTCGTCCTAGCTAGCTAGTGCGTCTCTCAGGCCCATTTGCTTGTCGACAGCTAATCCATCGATCGATTCGATCGATTGGTGTTCATCATCACTCCAAAGATCAGAGTCAACGATCGATTTCAAGAAGAAACTAATCCATCACTATATATCATTTCGACAAATTAACAATCGACACATGAACCATTAACTTTTTGACTAATTAATCACACTTGCAATACGTGTATATATATCTACGTATATACTCCAATAATGCTACATATGTACAAGGATATACGCATACGTATGTACATGTATACGTGTACGTATGTATGTATGTATACAGTTAAGCTTGTTGTATATGCTACGACGACGCCGGCGACGACCACGCCCAGCGACCGGCGATGCAGCCGTCGAGGATGGCGCGGCCGATGTCGCCGCCGGCGGCAAGCGCGTTGAACTCGCTGGCGCGCATCCGCACGGTGAGCTGGCCGGCCGCCGGCGGCGGCGACCAGGGGTGCACCGCGGCGGCGCTCGCCGTCGTCCTCATCTTCTTGGATGCGCAGCTCCCCATTTAGCCAGCAGCAAATTAAGCGATCGATGCAATTAAGAACCTAACTAATTATGATCATATATCACTCTTGCTAACTAACTAAAAACTTATAAATATTGCTGGCTAGCTACCTAGATTGCAGTGAATCGAACTCTCAATTCATTCTTTGTGTACTGTCGCTCAGAACGAATTGCATCATGTGCTAGATGACACACATGCATGTACAAACTACTAACAAACATATTTATAGATAGACAGAGATTCATGGATCGATGTAGCTAGGTAGCCGGCCATAAATTGCGGCAGATATGATATTGCTGCTACTGCTATGGAGTACGTAGTGTGCAGAAGCAAAGCATGCAAGCAATGCAAGCTAAAGCACATGAAGTTGGACAAGCGTCAGGAGAGTGGATGGAGACGCCGGCAAGAAACACACTACTATATACATCTCCTTTGCATTAATATTATAATATCGCCAATTGAATTAATTATACATTTTCTTTCAACAATACTTATATCTATATATGTGTGTGTACATAATATAAATATATATGTTGGGTTTGTATATATACTCCCTCTCAGTTATATTGCTCTGGTGTCATTTTAGATTTGCCGTATGTCTAACTTTTATATCTTTGACCATTAATTACGAAAAAATTATATGGTTTGACATCATAAAGATTAGAGTATTTTTCAGATTCACGGTAATAATTTGCATATTGTTGAACTACCAATATGATTTTTCTATGAATTGATGGTCCATCAATAATGATAGAAATGGTTGAGTTGGGACAAAGCTGTTAGAATAATAAGTAATTTGAATCAGATGGAGTCGATCAATGATAGAAATAGTTGAGTTGGGACAAAGTTTTTAGAATGATATATAAGTAATTTGAAACAGATATGATGGAGTCGATCAATGATAGAAATGGTTGATTTGGGACAAAAGCTGTTAGAATGATAAGTAATTTGAAATGGATAAGTATTACTTTTCTTTTAATTTGGTGATCCAGCTTGTCTCGAGTACTAGCTAGATACATATATGATGATCTTGTTGACAGGGTAGACGACTATTGTCGCTAGCTGCAGTGCTGGCAACTGATCCTGCTGCTTATGTTGCTGTTGCTGTTGCTGGATTATGTAAGGTTAATTAATTAGACCCTGAAGACACGGATATTGGACCATATGGACATAGGTTTATGGGGCGGCCCCGCTTGCTTGTGATACTTTCATTCCTTGGACGAATGCAGAAAGGGAGATTGTTGTGTGCAAGCAACGTTCTTGAAATCGGCAAGCCTGAGATACACATGCAGTTGTCACTGTACAGATTCGTATCTATTCATACTACACAGTTGACCAGTTGTTTTTCTTTAACCGAACGGCACCAGCAGTGGTGAAGCTTCTTTCATTTTAAGGCTTGTTTAGTTGGGGAAAATTTTTAGGTTTGGTTATCATATCGGATATACGGACATACATTTGAAGTAATAAACATAGTCTAATAACAAAACAAATTACAGATTCCGTCAGAAAACTGTGAGACGAATTTATTAAGCCTAATTAATCCATCATTAGCAAATGTTTACTGTAGCACCACATTGTCAAATCATGGCGCAATTAGGTTTAAAAGATTCGTCTCGCAATTTACACGTAATCTGTGTAATTGGGTTTTTTCCTATATTTAATATTCTATGTATATGTCAAACATTCGATGTAATAGCATAAAAATTTTTATTTTGGGAACTAAAAAGAGCCTTAGTAGGGAGTCTTAATCGTGCCATTTTGCATGATACTCAATATGAAGACCCATGGACCTCGATGTAATTTTTCAAAAGCTGGGTGGGCATGACCAAGTTTGGTCTCTATGAAACTCCGCCACTGGGCACCAGCCTAGTTCGAAGCTTATGCTATAAAAAATTACAAGATTATAATCCTAAAAGAAAATAATAAGAGAAAAGAAATAATATCACATCACACGTACCAGCAACCTCCACAAACCGCTGGAGAGAGAGCTTAACACCGGTCGGTCACCGCTACATGTGACAGTTTGCCACCATGCTAACAACCGAGCCACAGACGTGGCCAGCTGGTTTTGGCCACGCTTAAGTTGAGAAAGTCTTTAACATTCACATTCATATATAACTAGTTCATAATCTGTGCATTTCAATGCCAAATTACAAGGTGTATGCATTCTCATAACAAGGTTAATTTTTTTTTTCTTTCTTTTCTGATTAAACAAAGGCCAAATTTATGTCCGATGTGTTCTGTTCCAAACTTTTGATAATGAAAATCAATTCAGCCTCTACATCAGACATATATTCCTTTTTTTCCCCAAAAAAAAGAGCGTATGTACGACGTAGAGGCTAGATCGATTTTCGTTATCAAAAGTTTGAAACAAAACATATCAAAGAGTACTAGTAGCATATAATAAAACTGATTAATTAAGTTGGTGTTGTTATACAGATGACAGATTATACTCCATATGTCCCAAAATATAAGGTTTTTTAGGTGGATGGGACACATTCTCTATACTACAAATCTGGACAGAGAGACTGGATACGAATCTGGACACAGTATTCATATATACTACTATAATATGTCTCATCCATCCAAAACCTATTTATTTTGGGACAGATAGACAGCCCCATCGGATGGCCTAATAAGCCAAAGAAAAAGCCAAATTTTGAATTTTCAAGCTTAATTTTAAGATTGATTTTGACATATTTTCAACGTAGTTTCTTTTTCAACATTGGCTTTTAAGTAAAAAAAACACATTTATAAAAGTTTTACCCACAAATTTATTTTTATTTACTAATAAGCCGTTTTGGCTTATTAGGAAATAAGCCAAACGATGGAGACCAGAGTATGATGTAAAACAAGTACGGGTTGGTAGCTAGGCAAGCTGAGATATATATTCAGAAAAATGGTGTACATGCATGGGCCTGCTGCTTGACAGTAGTGGTGATTTGCATCCTGGTACACTCACACATCAAGGCTACGACCACACTGTTTTTAAGTTGATCCAAATTGATTATGCACGGATAGTTCAGCAGACAAGAACTGTTTGAATGAAAACAAGCCTGCTACTACTAAGATCAATTCTGGCAATAATTAGTATTCCAGTTAGTTGGGAAACAGCAATTCAATTGCCTAGTTTGTGACAGATGAAATCATCCCAATTCCAACTGCATCATAGCATATAGGTAGCATAGGGAAATGCAGTTTACGACATTAGGAAGCCCGTAGCCGGCATCACATTACATTTTTCACATGAGGCATCTCAAAACAGCGAGGCGCTGTGCACGCGGTTGCAACTTTTCTTAAGCTACAGCGAAAAGACAATCAGTACTAGTTCAGAATTTCAAATCACGAGATCGATAATCAGAGAAATCAAGTATCCTGCAGATGCAAAATTCATGAGAGAAAAATGGCAATCTCAAGTCTGAACTGATGGTGATCAAATCTCTGGCCTCTGCTGCACCCACCTCGATCGATGACTGCACAACCTGCAACAGTAGCCACTAAAACCTGATGTGCAGTTTTGACACGACCATGTGATGCAACAGTGGAATTTGAGCTTAAAATGAATGGATGTACGTACTACCACTGGACAGCTCATAACCATGGAAGCTCTTCTTATCAACGACCAATCAAGAAACGAACCATAACATAGTTGCAGTTGCAGTTGCAGTTCCAGTGCATCCATCCAATGGTGGATCTGACTGTACAGTTCCACATGTCACTGCCTTCTACTTGTGCCATGTTTTGCAACTCGACCAGAACCAAAATAACTTGAGATGAATATATGCATTTAACTCTGAAATCTACTGACACGGTATTGTGCAGACAATAAACATAGAAATCGGCATAAGGCGATAAAAACGAATGTTCAGTGCAAGAATAATACAGTTCCGACGAGTGAATTGAAGGCGAGATCTGGGTCAGTAAGAAAAAGATAGCAGGTGGCAAATGTACAGCATAACGATAAGTCTCCATTTTCAGGTAACGAGTTCATCAGGTTCTCAGTAGCAAACAAGACACAGCAAACAACTGAACAGCGACAAAAGTCCAGGAGTTTTGCCTTGCTGCATCAAGGACAAAAGCGTCAGGCCCGCTTCTAAGAAGCGCTATGTGCAAGGTAAAAAAGAAAAAGACCAAACCCGGTAACGGTTTCCCCCCTCCGTTGCAAGTGTAGATACTTACTAACGGTACAGTAAAAAGAAGGCCGAGCAGATAAAACAAAAGACATATATCGTAACTTCTCTTTCATATATGTCTATCTCTATATATAAGCAGTGCCATCAGCACCTCCTGTACCTACAACACCTAGTGCATCAGCTGGCGAGGTGCACGGGGACGCACGGGAGTCTTTGAGGGGCTCACCCTGAAATATAAGCAAAGCCGCCTCAGTCATTTCCGTAAATAACTTGTTTGTACAAAAGCTGTCAATATGTGAAAGACCACATCTTTACCTTATTGGCAAGGAACCCAGTATGACACCACTGCAGTTGAGAGCAGCAGTGGCACTTTCAGCCTGAATGTTGACAAAAAGAAGTTAAACGTAAGATAGAGATCAGTTATGTATACACAGAAACTAGCACCATGTAAGATTTTGGATAAAGGAATACAAGTTTGACCCCCCCCCCCCACCCCCACAGACAATATGCTTCAAAGCTGAGGGCGTATCAAGTTAATGCACTTAGCATAATGACAGAAACAGCTAGCAACAGTTCCTGTAAGCAGGAAACTTATCAATCAAGAGTACTTAGGACCACAGTCCAGGGTTCCAGGACATGATTTTAAAAATCCACCTATACTGCCATGCAATGCTAGACAAGAGATCATAATTCATAGCACCAACCAACACATCTGTTGTCACCAATTAACAGGAAATCACTGTTGAGTAGGACTAATGGAGAAGAAAAATATCAAATAGCAAGGAATTATGTAAATACCAAATACACTCGATCTCGTCTTTCCACAGTTCTCGCTCAAAACATCAAAGGCTCTGAACTGTTTTCTAGCTGATTTATTCAGTTGATTGGACTAAAACTCAGATAGCGCAGAACAATTTCGTGCTGCACTGATTGACAACTGGATTCCATAAAAGTTCTTTAAAAAATCGAACTACCTAGAAACCACAGTAAACTGACTAGAGAACAGTTCATTGTGCATATTTTCTACAAAGTCGTGAGCAGTGTGCTATTCTGTGTTGTCAACTAGTAACACTAAAAATTTAATGTGTGTAGAAATGCAGCAATTTTAGACAAATATGAAACAGGCAAGACATACTGACCATCACAAACTCCACAAAGGCAATGCGAGTAGAATGATGGTAGTCACCAAGCAACCTCAGCCGATATACCTGTAAAGGTGGTATTGCAATGAGGGAAGTTGTTCCTTGAATTGCATTTCAGTATGATTGTGAAGAAAAGGTTGACATAAGGAATGACAAATCACCAACCTCTCCACATATCGACTCGAAGAACAATTTCACATCTGCCTGAGAGACCTGTATCAAATGCATCAAATGCCAAAGAAACATGAGCATAAAGGATAACGAAAAACAGAGTACAAGCAAATTGTAGCATACCTTCTTGTCAATGTTTGTGCAGTAAATAGTCCTTGCACACATCTCACGCTCATCATCGGACTGCAGGCAACAAGAATGGGGGCCAGCTTTTAGACATCAGGTGTACACGTATTTGCATAAATTTCATTGAAATAAGAATTAATAATGAAATTTATGCAAATACATGAATTGTGCAGATTCAGCTTACCCTGGGCAGAAATGTTGGGTTAACAGGTGCAATCGCAGTTTTTGATGGCAGCACCCTGACAGGATAATATCCAAGCACGGTTCCCGACAAATTTAGAGCAGCCCTTGCACTCTCTGCAGCAGAGCAGTTTATTAACCAATTGACTATTGATCTAAGTATATGCTTAATTATCACTCGACCACTTACCCTCATCAGTGAACTCTATGAAAGCAAAACGAAGAACAGAATTCGGATCCCCACACATACGACAGTCCACAACCTTCAGAAAGAAAAATTTCAAGATTATTATGCACAATTATCACAGAAAGCAAGTGTGGAGCCAGAAAAATGTACCTGTCCACAGTTGATAAATAGTGCTGCCAATTGCTCTTCAGTGACCTGAACACCAAGAAAATGAAAGCTATCAACATGCTTACAATTTCTGATTTGCAACTGCATTAAAAAGAAGGGAATAAAAGGAAACTGGATATCATCTTGCACAATGGAACAGCAGAACAATAATACAAATATGGACTTATGGAGTTCAACAGGCTCCAAAAGTTGAATTTATAAACTTTATCAATACAGAAGAACAGCCAAGTGAAAAATAAATTTAAAATAACCCTTTGAATGCTGAATTAGGCATTTCAACACTGAGAGAACATAGCCTTACAGAACACAACTATAGTAAATGCAAAACCATTAGCAGCACCTCTAACATAAGTGATGCCATAGATCTCAGACCTTGTCACACAATTTCTTCAAGAAAAGCTGATTCAGTGTAAAGCTTTCGGTACATAAAAAATGCCGACATGGCAAATATAAAGAAGATACAATTGGAATAATTTGCATGGCTGCATATCTTTAACAGGACCTCATTTGTCAAAAGAGAAGTAGCGAGTGATTTGCATCTTGTTATGAGTATCAGAGTATATGCCACAAAATAGTATGGCATGGAGCACACAAGGACATTGTTATACAGATAATAGAACAAAGCAAAATCATATTTACCATGGACATAAAACGTAAAGCATCTGACTCGTGATTCAGCGTTACATTAGGAACAATGCTAAACATAGAGACTAAAGGTACACTTGGCTTGGATATCCACACAATCCCATGAAAAACAATAATGTGACAAGTTGTCCTAAGATTATCTAAGAACCATAACAAGTGATGCAAATGCACCTACAAAATGCTTGGATGAACTACACCTAGCATTCCACCAACTAAGCTCAAACCCATCTATAGACAGGCTAAATGACGACACCTGGAATTAAAAAAGAAAAGAGGCATCCATTCGTGTCAGCTTGCTGCTATACATACAGTCTCGAACAAAGGATTAATTGAAAAAGATTAAATTGCGCTCATGGTATAAGAACTTGAAATATGTGTAAATTGGTATAACAAGTTGACAAGTGGGTGCATTTTCTGATTTGACTGTGCCACATGTTCAAAAGCGACCATGTCAGTGTGCCATCGGATCCCCACCGTGCTCAGGTACCTCCTGCCGTTGCAACACCGTGCAGCACCATTCGATGATCAGAGATGATTGATATCTTGCAAGAACTGTGTAAAACTTGTGGACTAAAGCTGTTTCCATTGCTTAATTTGATTTTTTCCGTTCCTACAATCAATGTGATTCTTCTCCCTGCTGCAGCAAGCAATCCAATGGGAGACAGAAAACTTCTAGCAAGCGGCTTAAGCAGAGAAGATTGGCCTGCTGAACCTTGTCCTCACACTATACATCCACACTGCCGACATTCTCAATGCGATCGTCTGAACTCTAGCCCTAGACATCATCGTTGTCAGGAAAAACACCAATCTAGCATGGACTCCTCTCAATAGAACCAATTCACGGTTGCATGCCGACATAGTCAATTTTGCACGCGTGGCTCTGCCAAATCAGAAAATGCACCTACTTGGCAAGTTTATATACCAATTTGCACAAATTTCAAGTTATTGCACTAAATCGCACCCACTCACTAAGTTCCTATACCGCAAGAGCAATTTACTCATTAAAAATGCATCCGTATGTGTCATCTTGCTGTACGTACAGTTATCTCAACAGAGCTCAAACAAAGGGCAAAGAGAATGCATTTTCTAAACTTCTAGCATACTTCAACCAAGAATATGGCTACAAGTAGGACAGAATATAAATCCATTGAATGTGTACAGACTGCAAATGCACAGGTACTATTGTCATCACATACACAACACAGTACACAATACTGCCTAAATGCTACAGCTAAAATGTACAGAACACCATAAAGTGATGTGCTTTTTTCTTTCTACCGAACAGATATGCCAAAGAGAGAAACATTTAGGTACCTTGCACTCACGAACATGGCAAGAAACATTTAGGTATCTTGCACTCACGAACATGGCAATAAAATTGTTTCAGTATATACCTATTAGGGAAAATACTAGATCCAAGAAGGGAGATGTATAACTAATGGAACATTGATCATCCTGCACCAAAAAAGAACGCGTTCACTAGCAAACAGAATCAGCCATTTAAAGCCTCAATCTTAGTAAACATCACGAGCAACCAAATAATTTGACGTTCATTTCCAATATGCGGATATGAGACTACCTTAATGAAAACCAACCAGACCATGCAGGCTAGGAATGTCAGCACGAAACCACAATATACACTCATGAACAGAAACATATAAAATCTGGTCCTGGCTGTATCGCACCAAATAAGAAATCCTAAGCATTTACTCTCAAGAAGTTATCACTCTGAATATACTAATTTTGCAGGGTGGTAATACACAACAGGGCATGGATTTTAGTTACTGTTGTTTCCTATTAGGACTAGAGCATACAAAAGGAACATAGAAGCAGGGCTCATAAATGAAGACATTTCCAGAAATACATAGCTAGCAAAGTAACTCCCACATTTATGGTGGCTATGTTTGCATATTACTAGATTGAATTAGTTACATGCGTAACGTATGCAACGTTGCAGGCACGAAAGCTACCAAGGTGACATACTACAGGTGCAGGATATGTGAAGAAGCCAAAGAAGGTAGAAGTGCCAAACAACCAGAGAAGAAAACAAATAACTCAACAAGGCTGGCTGCACCGAACGTAAGCACAGAAAAGGAAAAAAGAAAACACCCATACTACAACTTTCTAGATTCCATAGGAAATAATTCGCCGAGAAGTGCAAAAGCAGAGCTTTGGTAAGAAGGGGCACCCAAATCTATGAAAGCAACAGAGAGGATGACCCATGGTAGCGTACTGTACATCCCAACCTGCTCCTCCCACCCATCCATACCCATTCATGATTCATCGTCTATGTGACTCTGTCTCATGGTCTCTCTCATCGAGATCCTGTAAATGGTTTCGTCCCTAACCCATCTCAACAGCACGGGTGACCCAAATCGAACTGATATAATCAACTAATCATGAGAAATACAGGAAATCGGCATGACGAATCAAATCGACAGGCGAAATAGAGTTGTGGGATTGATAGCGCGGCGGAAATGGAGAGAAATGAACCGGATCCATGTGTGGGGGTGGGGGTGGGTGACCTGGTGATCGATGTCGGAGACGTAGACGGTGCGGCGGATGACCTCGTCGCGCTGCGCCATGCTGGTGCGGCTGTTCATCCGGCGCTTCCCGGCGTGGCCCTGGCCACCGAACCCTCCTCCTCCACCTCCTCCTCCGCCCTTCTTCTGCGGAGAAGAGAAGAGATGAGACGAAGAGCGTGAGAATCAGGAGGAACAGCAGAAGCCGCGGGAAAAGGTGAAACAAAACTCCTGAGGTGGTTGGTTGGTGTTACCCTGGGTCGGGGTCCGGCGAGGCCATCGACGGCGGGGAAGACGTGGGAGGGGGTGGGGGTGGGGTAGTAGGCGTAGGCGGTGGGGGAGGCGGCGGCGAGGGAAGGCGGGACGAACTCCTCGGCCATGGGGTTGAGCTTGGAGAGCAGGTCCTCCAGATCCCGCATCTCCCTCTCCCCGGCGTCCCCCTCGGGCGGCGGAGGCGCGGCGTGGTCGGCGGAGGTCTCGACGACGGCCATCCCCGCAGCAACGGGAAGGTGGATCGGTGGATGGAAGGGGACAAGCGGCCAACCAAATTACCAAACCACGAGGTGAGGGTGGAGGGGCAGTGGTTGGTGGAAGCGCGGGAGGGGAGGCTAGTGATGACGCATCGGATCGGCGGGAGGAGAAGGAGATGGAGGAGGAGGTGGATCGGGGAGGGGAGGGGACAGCAGAATCAGGAGGAGGCAGAGCTCCGACCAACCGGCGCAGGGGGAGGAGCAGAGCCCTAGTCTCCTCCTTTTTTCTGTTTCTCTCTCTAGAGAGGAGGAGACAGAGGAGAAGGAAGGAGCTTTGCCTTTTTGGGAGGAGGAGGAGAGAGAGCGCCCGCCACTTCCACCTGCTCCTCTTCTCTCCTCTCTCGCCTGCCTTTTTTTTTGCCGGGAAACCCCTGCAGCGTTCCGGAATTTCCCTTGTCAGTGGATTTCTCTTCTCTCTCTTTTTTTCATTTCTTTTTATTTTTGTTGATTTTCAATGTTGTGAATGAGATTGGTGATGATTTCTTTGTACTAAGATGTGTCACATCCAGTACGAAATTTGTTTTTATTGGGACGGAGGGAGTACTTGTAGTTGTTATGGTTATATTACGGTATACTTCTTTTGGCTTTTTGCATGTGGAATGTTTTGACTGTCGAAAACAGCATGTAAAATTTGTCGGAGGGAGTATATTAGTGTTGTGGTGTGTTCCCTCGGGTGGAAATATTTGTCGTTTTTGGACCAACAAAATGGTTTGTGCGTGGAAACGATGAGATAAAACTGGTTGGAGGGAGTGTTGTTACAGTTGTAATCTTAATCTCGGCTCTGATTGGTTAGTCACAACGAATAAAGCCGAAGCCACGTGAACAAAGCAAACAAAAGTGATCTATGAGAGAAGCTTATATATCTGTAATGGTTTAAAAGACGAGGCTGAAAAATAGACTAAAGAAAATGTAGAATGAACTCTTCAGTTAGTTTTCGGAGTTTATAATTTTGTTGTGCACGACAAGCTACGAGTAGATGATGAGAGCGGAATTTCGTCAACATATAATAGTATTTCTAAAAATATGTCTAGTTTATTTTTCTTATTGCTTCCCTTTTTTTTTCTCTTCCTTTGATCAGCTGCCATGATGTTTTGTTGGGTTTGCACTCCAAAGAAATGGAGGTGAGTTGTTTTGATATGGTGACTTGGTGGTGCTCAACCCATGAAATCAAGACCTTGTCTATAAGGATGCAGAAATCTAATGGTGACTGTCTCCACCCGCTTTCTTGAGTTTTTCTTACTTCTATTTCTAAAACAAGTTGATTTCTTGATTCCTTTTCTGTTCAATCTACTAAAGGGGTCTTGACCTATATTTGTATGAGAAGATTGATCATGACGAGCATGTAGAGATAGGGTGCGCGCACGATGGATCGATGTAACAATGCAAATGGCTAGATGATATCTTCATGATGAACGCAACGTGGCAATGTAACGTTGAGTCAACACGCCAAGACAAAAAGGCATCGGGGCACGAGAACGATGGGCCCACCGCACCTGGAAGCTCTCGGGCCAACAACACCTGGAAACTCTCACCCTATGTGTATCTCAAATTGAAAAATAATTATGTTCCCCATCATGCTTTTCTGTTCTCCCTGATAAATAAAGAGCTTTTGTTTTTTCATCCATCTTAGAAAAGTGGTGGCATTAGAGTTAGACACCGCTTTATAATTTTACCATAAGTTAGAGAGTAGATAAAAGTTGTGTTTTGATATGTGTACCAAAGAGTCATAAGATATGCCATGTTGCTAAAAGTTTTTATCAGCATTTTCCTACCAACCAGCCATTAACCTATAAGAAATATTACTAGTACTAGATAAGTAGAAATTAGGTTGGATCATCGTCCATAACAAGCCGACACAAGGCCTAAAAACAAGAGCGCCTACTACACTGCACAGTTAAAATGAACCATTTTGACCAATCTTAATTTTTACAACCTTAGGAGGCTACCGCTCCCATCGGTTGCCCATTTTGCCTAATAAGCCAAAATGGCTTATTAGAAAATAAAAACTAATTTATAAGTAAAACTTTTATAGATTTGTTCGTAGCGACTTAAAAGCCAACGTTAACAAAAAATTACGTTAAAAGCATATCAAAATTAACTTCAAAATCAAGTTCAAAAATTCAAATTTTGGCTTATTCTTTGGCTGTTTAGGCCAAAAGATGGGGCTATGCTTCAAGTGGAGTTCAACAAAAAAAAAGGAGTGCTGGACTGTGATGCAAAAGCAGGAGATTAGAAGGGGTCACCTGTGATATAGAGAGAAGAAAATAAAAGGGAAAGAGGAAGGTTCTTGTTGCATACTTGCAATGGCTGGTTGGTCATTTGGTACGGCCACCGGGCTTGGACTATGGCTGCTATATGAGCAAGGCCCATGACGAACACAGGAGAAGAATAGAAGAGGAGATCCACTCCTACGAATGCATGGACCTGGCTCCCCATGCACCGCAGGCTTTGCACACGTCAGCGCTGTTCGTCGTCTTCCCCGGCTCACGTGGACCCGGTCCATCCGGTGGCACGGTGCGTGCATGCATCATCGGTGCATGCACCGCAGAGGGTGCGAAATTTGCAGGGAGAAAACGAGTTCTTTTTCTTAATTTTCTTGTGATGATTGAAACATTGAAGAAGAGCAGCACGGATGGTTTTTGAGATTTTATCTATACTTCAAGTATTCAATTAAACAAAATCGAATTTTTAGAAGGGATTTGATGTCATTGTTTGTAAGGCGAAGAGGTGGTCCGCAAAAATAATAAATGATCTACTTAATTTAAAAATTGAAATTTTAGAAGGAATTCGAATTTCATTGTTTGTGAGGCGAGTAGGTGGTCAGAGAAAAAAAATCGTTTTTTTTTTGCGGTGGCAATGAACATTGAACGAGAAGAACACGGATGATTTTTGAACTTTTTATCTACTTAATTAATTAGTTAGTTAGTTAGAAATCGATTTCTTAACAAGGAATTTGAATTCCATGGTTTTGCTTTTCGACGTTGGTATATGTCTTCGGCTGGGGAGGCAGGGTGGAGACCAAAGCTGGCGTTTTTATTCGTACATGCTACTGGTGTTCTGTTACACCATCCCTCCTTCCTCTTGCTACGTCTCTCTCTCGTCTCGTGTTTGTGTTCTTGAATCTTGATATAAATGGATACAGATAGAAGTACTACTCGATGCAAATATGTAGCAGGACGAGGCAGCAAAAAAGCATGGGAATATCCACGCCAACACCTGCTTGATCCGGTGAAGGAAAAAGCTGCTTGTCTGGCTTGGTGTACACTGGCACAGTATAGTACTCCTACAGTCCTACAGAAAATCAGAAACACAAATGTGGACTCTTTTAGATCGAAGGAAAAATCAAATGAAAAAACAAAGGATTGAAGATCATGAGGATCTTAGTGCAGCATCATGTGGATACAGGATTCAATCATAGGAGAAAAATCCTCTAGTTTTCTTTGCGTAATTGTATGGTTGTGTTTGGATCTCCTGAAGACGAAGATAAAAGATTAAGTGTTTCACGCAAAACGAGGTAGTAATAACATGTGATTAATTGAGTTTTAATTATTACAAACTTGAAAGATGGATTAATCTTATATTTTAGAACAACTTTTATATAGAAATTTTTCACACGAAATGCACTATTTAGCAGTTTGAAAAGCATGCCACTTTTATCCAAAATTTTATCCAGTTTTTGTGGGAGAAAAGAACAAGGTCTATGTCGAACTCGGTGAAGATAGAGAAGGTTTAGAAAATACATGGTTGAACCCAACAATTGTACCAAGTTCCTCCACCCATTCAACGAATTGGCCTTCATCTTTTGGCTACTAAAATCAGCCCATGACCCCCCCCCCCCCCGCCTCGATGAATATTTTTTTGCCACTTGCCTTCTCTTATTTGATGACTCTACTGCGGACAAGATTCTTCTAACATATTATTGCCCCTGATATGATCACTAATATGTGGAGGTCATCGTCAATCGTCCACATGACTCTTTAAGTAAATTAAGTAAAAGGATCTCAATCTCTCAGGTGTTGTCTCTTCCCTTTGATTGCTTGAGTACCTTGGTGGCTATTTGTGTCTTTTGACTTGAAGAATGGGTGCGTTCGTCTCGTTTGCCGTGAGTCTACAAAACTATGAGCTTCCTCTAATTCAAACCCGCGTGTTTCTAATCCTCTTCGTCTCATAGCCTACAACGCAAGAGTCTTGATGGTTTATTTCTTTTACCACATCATGTGACGCTTACGATGTTAGTTTATTATAGATATAATGCACAATTTGTTACTCTATTAGTTAACATGCAAAGTTTTGTAGCAGTAGCCTCCTATCATATCTTGAAAGTTTTTTTTTACATTCATTTATTTTGCACGAGAAATCCTACCGTATCCTTATGTTTTTGGTACACTCTTGTGTTTCCAAGGAGCGTTGACTATTCGGCTTGAATAAAGGTGTGTTTGGTTGGGTGGATGGAGCATGGATAGGAGATGGCCACCCGAGTTTTTGTGGTGTTTGGTTGGAGGGCAAGGTGGATGGGGCAGCCTAGAATAGGGAATATTCCCTCAATATGCTGGATGAGTGCATCCGGCCGATTTGGCTGGATGAATCCATCCAGTTTTGGACTGGGTGATATGTCCTATTCCGATTGGCTGTGGTTGGTTTGATTTCCTGTTAAGCAAGCTCCAAATGATTTTTTTCTCCTAAACTGTTTGTCTAATTTATGATTTGATTACACCATTATATTCGTTATAATTAAATCTTTAAAACAAGATTTCGGATGATTATATTTTGATAAAAAAAATATATATGATAAATGAGTCCCACTAACTTTTGGCTTTTCGTATCTATGCTATATCCCTCCAACCAAACAAGAAATTGGATCGCCATATCCATACAAACCAAACAGAAAATTGGATCGCCGTATCCAATAAAATATGGATGACCATATCCTATCCATGCATGACCGTGAATCAAACACATTATAATAGGCCTCCACTCACGAATCTGATCATGGGCTTGTGCCTGCCAGCCTATGCATCATTACTTAATGGGCCTGGACCCTTAAATTGTCCAAGTTCATCACGCAAACAAGATGTGGCCCGTATCGGAGATTCCCTCAACGAAAAGGGCCCATCTCCCCCGGGCTGCTCGGACGATGGCCCACATACTCACGGCCCACCGTATCCTATCGTGCCCTATCCAAACACGCGCAAACACCGCACGTGCCTGACCCAAACTCCGCAAACGGGCCGGATCCGAACCAGACGAGGCCCACGATCCGGCCCAAGAGGAGAAACCCTAGCGA